TCTCTCTCCCTGTCTCTCTCTCTCTCTCTCTCTCTCTCTCTCTCTCTCTCTCTCTCTCTCTCTGTGTGTGTGACGACGATGTACGTAACTTCACACGTATAGCGTACCACGGCATGGCGTACGCAGGGGCAATAAATACATAGCCAGGTAATAGGTGTATATTATACAACGCAATAAATTACGAAATAATGATGCGTGAACTGGCTGTTGGAAAATAGTGGCGACGTATAACACTGCGTCGGTAGAGACATATTAGCGACCGGGTTACTGGCCTTCCTGCTCAATTGAATGCCGACAGTTTAAGATTTCGCGCTATGACCGTATTAGCCGTTAAATACACGATGGGTGACTAGAATATCTGCAGCAGTTTAGATCGCCCTGATGAATTACCATAGGATACCTATCATATTATCAGGAACGAATAATAATAGATCTAAGGAGTGACTATAATAATCTAGGAATTGGATCTAGGAAATATGATCTGAAAATAGGATCTAAAAAATAAAAATAAATTCTATTATTTTTCAATCTTGTTATAATTTTGCATAGTAATAATTTTTCGATAGAGTACTATAGGTTTCCAGTACGTAAATAAGTAGATTCGCGATAAAGTATTATAATGCCCGAGAAGTTAAAACAGATGGAGTAATTGTAAAAGAAAAAAAAAACACGCAAACAGATACGTCAAACAAACACATGCATTAACAAAATTATGCACATGCCTGTGGGCATAAAAATTCAGAAATTCGACAAGATAATTAAATTACATTGATAAACAATGCAGTAATGTGGATATTTCCCATTGTAGCACGGGAATATTATCAAAAAAGAAATGAAAGTGGGTTGCAGTCTGTGTGTGCGTGTGCGTGTTTGTGTGCGTGTGTGCGTGTACGTGTGTGCGTATCTGTGTGTGTGTGTGTGTGTGTGTAAATACAGCTTAATCGTACATCACCTACTTGCTATTGGTTTCTTCCTTTAGATGTATAAACACGATCGGGCGCAATGGGGACTAGTAAAACGATATACAGCTCGACATTAGGTTTATGCGTGGTCTTTATAGACTATCCAAGTCCATATATATGACGGGTACAGCCACGTTTGCGATTATACAGCCTAATTAATCGACTGACACCTAGCTTCTAGTACGGTAACTATATGCACGTTGCATTCGCATCCAACGGTCGGGGTAGCGAAAACACAGCGTGTAGCGTTTACGTTAACGGCAACTGTTATTGTCGGTTTATTAAAATTTCAACGCGGCAACCGTATACATGCACGCGCGGTAGTTGTAGCACGCTAATAAAAAGAGAGAGAGATAGATAAAAGAAAGAGACAGATAGATTGAGAAAAAAAGAGAGGGACAGAGAGAGTGAAAGAGTGAGGGAGAGATAGAGAGGGGGAAGGAGAGAGATAGAGAGGGGGAGGGAGAGAGATAGAGAGAGAGAGACATAGAGAGAGATAGAGAGGGGAAGGAGAGAGATAGAGAGAGAGAGAGAGAGATAGAGAAGAGGAGGGAGAGAGATAGAGAGAGAGAAAGAGATGGCAAGAGAGAGATAGCGAGATAAAGAGAGCGAGAGAAAGAGAGAGAGAAAGAGACAGAGACAGTGACAGAGACAGACAGACACAGAGAATCAGCGAGCCGGAGACTCGCGGCACACACCGACCTGACGAGGTTGCTGTTGCTGCCGGCTCCCCCACACTTGTCGCACATGACCCGCACGTCGCGCGGCGTCCGCTGCCCGAAGCTCATCCGCCGCCGCTTCGGCCGCTGCTGCCGACTGCAGCTCTCTCCTCCGTCACCCGTCAGCTGCGCAGCGAGAGAGAAGCCATGCACGCGACGATTACATCCCGAGAGGAAGCCAAGATTGTTGCCGACACGATATTTTCGATGACCGCCTGCTCGCCGTTTGACGACGACATTTACTTTAACATTGCTTTAACTTGTCACAAGATGGTGTCAACCAAGTGTCATGCAGCAACTAGTTTGTGTGCGTGCGCGCGCGCGTGTGTGTGTGCGTGTGTGTGTGTGTGTGTGAGCATGCGTGTGTGGGTGTGTGCGTGCGTGTGCGCGTGCGTGTGTGCGTGTGTGCGTACGTGTGTGTGCGAGCATGCGTGTGTGGGTGTGTGCGTGCGTGCGTGCATGCGTGTGTGCATCTGCGTGCGTGCGTGCCCCTGCGCGTGCGCGTGTTTGCGTGTGCGTACGCGCATACGTGCCTGCGCGTGTGTGTGCGTAGGGGAGGCCATGCCTTACAACACCAACCTTGGAGTCATGGCTCTCCATGCTTTCGTCGTTCAGCTCAGCCGTTTCATCGAGCATCGTCTGCATCTCACCGCTCTCGTTCAACTCTACCGTCTCCACCTTCCTCTTAGCCGCCGCCACCTTCCCCACCGTCTCCTCTCCGACCCCCTCGATCAGCTTCTTCTTCGCCCTCCGTTTCTTCGGCGGTTTCTTCACGTGTAGCTTGCCATCCTCCTGGTCCTGCGTTACATTGCCGGGTAAATATCACATGCATGCATTGCTGAATCGCACGTCGACAGCGATGGCAACAAAACAAACAGTTTTGGTCGACTTCTACTTCTAATATCTTTGCATACATCGTGGCAAGGGTCTCTGCTGTGGGAAGCTTAGTTTTTGTGGCGCAGCACAACCGGACGATTAGACGAGGAGTCACCATGTGCACACACACACGCACGCACACACGCACACTCGCACACATGCACGCACGTACACCACCCACCCACACCTAGCCCCCCACCCACCCGTGACCGTGCGTGCACAGCCTGACCACGTCGAGCAGACGCCCCTGGGGCGTGCAGCCGATGACGTCACGCGCGGCGCGTTTATGGCGGCCATGCTGCCGCTCGCTGCGCGCCGTGCCGGCAGCCGGTCACCTGTGTTTTCCGCGTCGACCCGCCGCCGCCGTCGCGTGTTGAGACTCCGCTCTTCGCGCCAATAAATACCTCCGAGAAACATCCGCCGCATCCTGCGACGCCGGCGCGCCGCCGCCCCGCGGGGCGCGGACGCGCAGGGGGCGCCGCCGCCGCGCGTTCGCGGCCGGCGAGATTTAACGGGGCGAAGGTAAGACGCGAGACGGGATAATAACCGGACGTTTTTCTCGAGGAGCGCGGAATGCAACGCGATCTGCATTCACGATCCGAGCGATCCCGAGGAATGCCGCCGTCTTCTTCTTCCCGGGGGCCGCAACGAAGAAGCAGAAGAACTCGGCGGATATCAGCGAAATTTTTTGGCGGTGTTGGTTCGCGGAAGACGCAGCAAACGTCGAGCGTACGTAAAAACACAGCGGTTGTATCCAACGTGTATGAAGTCGATGGATATCCTGGTCTTTGGTAGGTACTCGGTAGACACTCTAAACTTTGTCGATCTTTTTTTTTGGGGGAGGGATTGTTGGAAGGAAGGCTTTCCGAAATCTCATTTGTGGTTGAATATCATCACATTTAAACATAATGTTTTCTCCCAGAAAATATTTATTGGAAATCTGCCGACTGTGCACAAGTCATTGTCGGAAGCCACGACATTACATCGCGCTTCAGGAAAATCGAAACAAGCGTGAAAATTCCATATTTAGTCGCACTGGCGGCGCATTTATTTGAGCGTATAGAACCGGGTTGCCACGGGCAACCAGAAGCTACCACTGAGCCAGCCAACACGAGCGACTCACGCACATACTACGCGCTCTTGGCACAATCTACTCCACAGGCGCTGCCTGCTGCCACCTGCTGGCCAAATAAAATATTATGCGATGAGGATTGAAGAAATGTGCGTACTGCACGCCTGCCTTACAGTCTTACAGTCTCAGCCAGCTGCTCCTACACTCCGACTCAGTCAGCACGTCGATACTCCAACTACTCACTCATCTTGTCCCATATGTTGCGCTGCGGCTCGACCTGCTGGTCTTGACCTTGCACGTGCGTTCCAAGGTCATCCGTCGGCGCGCCCTTGGATTCACCGCCAGAGTTGTTAAGGTCGTGGAGCAGGATCTGAAGTGACGGTGGCGCCACCTTCGCCGGCGCCGCGGCGGCTTCTTTCGACGGAGGGTCTTGAGTGATATTGGTGGCGGTGTCGGCAGACTTGACATCGAGTTTGCTGGGATCCGCGGCAGACGATTCTCCAGCTTCCTCCGTGGGGGGCTTCCCCTCTTCCTTTGTCGTCCCGTGCTCCCCCTCTTCCTCCTCCTCCTCCTCCTCCTCCACCGCCTCCTCTTCACCATCATCGCTAGAATCCTGCAATTTGTGAAAAGATCTTTAGCATTTACTGCAAAAAATATAATAATATGATAATACAACTGCTTATCATATAAAATATATTTGAGTTCGTATGTATGTATCTATGTATGTATCTTCCCTATAGGCGGCCAAACCGCCCAAGCGATCTGGATGCAATTTTCACAGGGCCATCTCTTATACCCGGGGAGTGTTCGTAGCTGAAAAAAACCTGCCAAACCGTCAAACTCACCGAAAAACCCCTCAATTCGTCAATCTTCACACATTGTCAGCACTGACTTTACAGTGCTGCCACACACAGCAAAAATCGATCACTCATTCCATCAAACCGTATTGTGAAACCGAAACCGAGCACCGAGCTA